GGTTGTTTTATTTACTTTTGGAGCATTTTTATATTTAAAAAAAATCATCAGCATGATATGGCTTGGAATAGAGCTTTTAAATAGTCTTTGGAAATAATTTATACAATTTTAGCAAAATGCAATCGGATGTACTCGTATTTTTTTCCATGAGACATTTCTGAGCAGCATGTCATTGTACAGATTCAGCAGCCCTGGGTGGATGGGTTTGTTCGCGGTAATTATCACAAGGTGTGTTCAAAGCATGTTCAGCTGGACTCGGACGGAAGATTTGAGACAGGACCAAAGAGGTTATATATGTACTAGAGTTCATGGCAGTGATGTTCTCCACATAAACGAACGAGGGCAGCGTGTGCCCACTCTGGGACACTGAACCTCAAGGACAAGACATGCCCAGTTCAACAGACGGGTGAGTACTTTTCGAGACTCACGTGGAGGCGTCTCGGTGGTCTTCTTAGGAGGAAATGTACAAGCTTGTACTGACACATGGGGGCAGGGTGGTGTTTAATATACTAGAGCTCGTGGGGAGCCGGGTGCGGGCTCAGATTGTTCATGTAAATGGGGGCATGCCGGCCATGCCGATGAGGGTAAGAAGCCCTTATGTCTGACACGCGTGACGTCACTGCTGAGAGCTCTAGTACTATATATATAACCTCTGTGGACAGGACTTGAACATGCTCACGGAGGGACGTGACTCCGAGACCATGGTTCAGTATCTTGAGTCGACATAATGGCCCTGGACATCTGACATCTTGCTTTCATTCCATAAATGGGTGGTAAACGAGAAAGAGATAGACCGAGAAAGCGTAAAGAACTGACTTGTGACTTGGAAAGACAACGAGAATGTGAGAATGTACTGTATTTAATAAATTTTGTTTCGAGCATCTGAGCAGAGAAAGAGTGGCGTACCCTGGTCGATTGTGCCTGTTTTTGGCACTTGAAGAAGGAACATTCAAAGGGGTTTAGAACGTTTGCTGATTGGTGAACAGATGAAAGTATAGGTCAATCTATCCCCATTGCGTAGTATGCAACTAATTAAAATCTAATGGCGGTAACCTTAGTTGATTTAGAGCTAAAAAAAACTATGTGGAGAAAGGGAGTGAACCCGGGAGCGAGAGAGAGAGAGAGAGAGAGAGAGAGAGAGAGAGAGAGAGAGAGAGAGAAAGCTTGGGAATGTGACTAGTGTTCAAAGAAAAAGCAGGAGAGATGAACACATTGCTTGTGACACGTAAGAAGAATGTTTGGATCTGAGAACAAAA